GAGGGCAATGGCAGCGACAGTAGCGGTGTGGGGGTGGTGTGGGGTGATGGTGGTGGTGGGGCTGCAGATAAACCCGCGCGCGCACAAAGACGCGAGCGCGCTCTGTGGTGGCGATAGCGGGAATTGGGTCGCGCGCCGCGTTGGCGCTCGCCGCCCACGCAGCCTCGCAACGGACGCAAGGGGCCGCCCACGCGCCCACGCACCGGGCGATGCACGGCACTGGCGCAGCTGACATCTCACAGCGGAAATTGGCACATGTTGCGACGAAGTTAACTGTCATGAAAACAGCCGCGTTTCGGGAGAACACGCACCGTTTTTTTTATGAATTAAACAAAGATCTAGCAAAAAGAAGTATGGCTGGAAGACTGTTTGAGAAAAATATGTAAGGTACCGATTCATAACACCTAAACGGAATGTGTATTGGAGAAAAGTACGTAAGGTACACATTCCATTACTTCAAAAATAAAATTTGTGGGAAATGAGAAAAAATCGTTCGCGACTATGTACCGGCAATGTTCAGACATGACAAGATGAAACGCGTGAAGACAAATTTTGATCATTTTTTCCCCCAAAAGAGATTTTCTTTATTCTTTATTTTAAGAGTTTATTTTAGGAAAAATACTCGTAAGACTCACACAGAAATTTTCGGAGTAAATACATCGCATATGTTCTGAGCTTTCACTAACAATTCGCATTTAAAAAGTATGATTCTTTTTGCATCTGTAAAATTATGCAACTTTTGTCATTGTATTAAAAATATTGTTCCTGCATCTTATATAACGTAGAAAATTACATTCAATAACTCATATAAATAATGTAAATAAAAATACTCTTTGTCATTTTGGTCTCAGGTTACAATAACGAAGTAGTAATTTATGATAGGAGTGGTAAAAGTGGCGAGTAGAAAAGATTGCGACTTGAAGCCGACAGGCCGAGGGGCAAAATTATACTATGAGCAAAATAAAATAACTTTTATCGCGTATGTGGTACACCATATTTTAGGTGGCCAGACTGACTTTCATTCTATTTTCATTAAAGTATATAATTCATTAAATTATGTCAGAAGTTACTGATGCGATCAGAGAAAACTATTTTCTATTATTTGGTACCTTTACACAGTTTTATTGTAACATTTAACGATCGTGTCACTTTTATCTCTAGAGCTAAAAATTAAAGTTCTAGTACGTTGTACATGCAATAAAGGTAATCGCTTTTTCTAGCTAAAATAATATTTATACACAAAACATTATTCAAGTACTTGCCATTAATAAATATGTGCTGTTTAGGCTTAATATGAAAATCTGTGTATCTGGAGAGAAAAAACGTTCATTTTGTTTATCTGTATGCGTTTGGACATGATATCTTTATATTACAGGAAAAATAGTGACAAAATTACAATTAGAAAATGTAGAATCTGCCGTTTAAAAATGTATTTATTACGTGTTAGACCATGTGCATTTAAAACAAAAGTAGAAAAGTTTTCCCTTCCACTGTCGCTTCCTACTGAGGTATCAGGTTGCGGTGATATAGAAGGCAGTGACCTAACGTAAACAATAGTAGTTCCTTATTCTGACGTTGACAAACTTTCTGGTAAAGTGAACAAGTATTAACAAGCGAAAAGCGAAAAAAAACAAAATACACGTGATGGCTCTTTCAAGTTAACCATTAGAAAACCATTCTCAATACATTCGTTGACAAAATTGGCAAAGTGTTTGCAAGTGTTCGCGTGTCAAGTTACGTTCTGTTGTTTTGGACATTGTCACTCGTCACTGCCATGCTCGCGCTCGTCCTCGTCATATTTGACGTGTTGAAAGACGTCATCCAATTCTCCATCGACGCATGGAATCGCGGGCGGAGAGTGCACGGTAAGATTTGTATACAAGGACACTCTGTGTTGGGGAATCGTGTGGCCGATTGAAGAGAAAACCTCTCGATATGAATAAATTACAAAAATACAATATTTCAAATACAATATAAAATATTGTGAGTATCCAGGAAAAGTTATATGCAGGTTATTCGAGATAGATTATCCTTCATTCATCGTCTACTTTTCTTGGTACAAAACCATATACATTAGGCACCACGGGTATTGTTTATTGGAGTTTTACTAAATAGTATAATCGATTATATTGTTCATTATTTCCAAAAGGAGTGTTCGAAATTATTTCTAGTTACCACGTTTATAAACAATGCACTCCAATAAACAGTTTTTATTGCTAGGTTTCCACATCAAAATAGTTTGAACATAATTCGACAAGTACTACACAAGAAATATAACTCTGCATATTATTCGCCAAATATTTTGTCAAATTGTTCATTATATCCTTAATACGTCATAACGATAAATGAGAGTTTAGGAAAGAAATTTCTATTTGAAGTGATTTTTAATATATTCAGGCGATATTATACAAATACTTATTAAATAAATATTTATTAAATAATCAATTCCATCATACTGTCACAAATTTTTGCGTAAATATAAATATTCAGTACGAAATATCACAGTATAAAGCGTGTGCGCAACGCTTTTGGGTTTAGACAGACACAATTTTTGCAATAGGTCACTGAGATTATGCCAGCTGCCTATAAAATAGGCTTTATACTTTTTTCAAATACGTAGTATGTCCTAATTAAAAGGGAAGATTGAATAGATCAAAGAAATTTGTCTTTCTAGATGAAATGTTTTATTGGATATGATTTAATGGTGATATTTATACGTTCAAAATAACCCCTTAAATGTACTGACTGCAATAAATTAATAAGTTCCCGTCAAAGCAAGGAAAATGGATGTTTTTCGATTGTGAGAATACACAACAAAAGCGTTGTGAACGTTGCGTTCATTAAAGACGAATTTTGTGATTTCTGAGTGTTGCTCAGCGCGGTGCCTTGCACATAATTGGTCTGTTCTGTTGTGCAGTTGAGGAGTCGCCTGAAAGCGGCCTCGTCGACTAAGGAGGGGAGAGCGATGGCGGGGCGATCGGCGAAGGCGGCCGGGGGAGGGGGGGAGGGCGTGGGCGAGGCCAAGCGCGAAGTCAAGCGCTCAGGCAGAACCAGAAGGGAGGGCAAGGACGACGTCGCAGGCCCGCAGAGGGAGGATCCCAGGACCAAAGCGACGGCTGACGGCGAATCCACAATCAAGCCAACTCTGGCCAAGGAAGTGGCTCCTGAGGCCGCTGAAGGACAGGGAAAGGGCACGTCCGAAGGCAGCGACGAGGCCAGACTCAAGGGCATGGGGAAGGGCCGGGCCAAAGGCGAAGGCAAGCTCAAGAGCGAAGGCAAGCTGGAGGCCGTAGGCGAGGGCGAAGGCTTGGGCGTGGGCGAGGGCGAGGGCGAGGAGCGAGGGGGCGTGTCCGCGGCGCGGGAGCGCTTCTGGCGCACCAGCGCGCTGGGCCGCCCCAAGCGCAGCGCCTTCTTCAACTTCATGGAGGGCATCCGCACGCGGCTGCCGGGCCAGTCGCCGCGGGAGATCGCGCGCCGCGCGCCCGCCCTGTGGCGCGAGCTCAGCGCCGAGGAAAAGCAGCCCTACCTCGACATGGCGGAGCAGGCGCGCCGCCTGCCGCCGCTCCCAGGTCACGCCGCGCCTCTCCTCTCAGGCTAGCCCTCTCGCGCTCACGGGCGTGCAGTGCGCACTGATTCGGGGCCTTCAATTAAAAATTGCATTTACATTGGTAGCCAACCAACAAATGAAAGGGACAACACTTCCAGCATCTGCTATGACTGTGGCAATTTCACAACTTACGTTTTCAAGCTGTAGCTCGAGCTACCGACATAATTCCTGTTGAAAGCTCTCTCACCAGCGAGGTGCCACTCTGGAGAGACTTTTCTGTCGCTCTATAGTATCTGACGGAAATTAATGTGTTTAACTGTTTCATAAAACTCAAATTTTGAGTTTCAAACATACCCTTTACACGGTAAAATTTCGAGTTGTATAATATTTTAATGACATACAACGTCCTATTTTTCTATAAATAACTTTCCGCAATAACGGATCAGAATTAGCCAATGCAGTCGAGAGCAACCCAACTTGGAAATGAACTACAAAGATCAAACATAAACTACTAACTACGTCATCTTTTTTTCGGTCATAGGTTAGATTCCCCGAAAAAGTAATAGTCCAAACGTTCATCGCTGGATTGATTCTTTCCGGCCATGACAACTAGAACGGTTATAGTCCCATAAGTGCAGTGAATGTGGTATGCCGGGAGCTGACGACGATTCTTCCCCATTGGGTGGTATAATCCGGCGGCCACGTCTGATTGCGGGGAATTTCTCCCTCCTAGCATGTTCCACCAGCGGGACGGTGCCCTAGCCAGGACAAGCTCTAAGCTCCCGACTAGCCTTTCGGCAGGTGTGACAGCGTAGTGCATGTTAGTGTGTGTGTGTGTGTCTGTGTGTGTGTGTGAGGAGGACGTTAGGAGAAGGAAGGGGAAGAAAATATCACGCGCGGTAGGTGCCCCATTTCACCCAGGGTAATATTGCGGCATTACCCTGATAAGAGAAACTACAAAACACTTCCAATCAGATATGTGGACTGATAGAATTCTTCATCAGACAGCACTTAATTGAACCTATCTATTTAGAGCGTTGCAAGAATTCGCCACCCTCACAACCTGGCGGTATGGCGGGTAGTATCGGGGGTCAGTGAAGGCAGTACACGACGGTGTTACCGAGCAGGGTGGGCTTGGGTAGGCTAGGGCAGAGCAGGACAAAGAACAGCAAGGTTGAGCGAAAAAGAGCAGGCCTTAGTAGGTCACACTATCTCAGACAACAGAGACGATACACTATAGACAGAAGGTATTCTTTTTCCTGTCCGAATATATGAATAAGATAAATAAATATCCAGACAAGTGAAAGGATTCGGCTTTAAACTTCCCGTGCAATCGCACGGGTTTCCATTAGTTTAAAATATTTTCAATCCGTTTCGAATTTATCACATTTTTAGAGTACTGACGTTTTCTAGGAGTTGAGAATATTTTTATGTCTTGCAATTAAGAACGTGTTTAATTCTTTTGGCGTTGAAACTTGGTCAATTACAATTGCTTTCAGCGCATTTTTCTTTAATTATACCGATAATAAGACTCCCAGTACGTAGAGCAGGCGGTGGACGGCGAGAATGAAGGGATCGATATCAAAAAAGTAGATATTGGTCTCCTCATTCGGAAATTGACAATTTAAACAAAAATAAAAATATTGGGGCAAGTGTTAACCCGGGTTTCATAGGAACATTAGCAGAGAGAATAATAGTCTTTATATATAAAACGAAGAGATTTAGATCATATAGACGTTTCAATCGACCAAATTTCTGGCTTGGTGGGATGAAAGGTAGTTGACTTGTAGAGTGTTGTAATTTATTATTATCCAGTTTTATTACATAATCACTGAATAAATAAATTCAGTCTTAAAATTATTAAAAAGACATGTTCTTTAAAAACATGTGTTGAAGGTGTTGCAATTGATCTATCGAAAGCTAGCGGTCTCGCGGGTAAGCGCCTGTCAAGAACAAATTTTTAATTTGAGAGGAGTGTCATTTCTGTCTTGCTGTTCTCAGTCAGCTACCGACAAATTTTGATATTGCCGTTGAAAATGTTTTTTATTATTAATGTAAGGTGTTTGATGTTTGGACAGTTTAAAGTAGTGACTGCCTCAGCCGGCTATCCAACCCGAATCTCTCGCTACTCGATAAGTCGTTCTAATACCGTTGCTCATAATCACTATCATTTATTTACAGGATTGATACTGTTCCGTCTATTCTTACGCTATTTAAACTTCCTCTTGCTGCTGTGGTCTGCTGGGCCTGAAGGGCGAGTCGTAACGGGGACTGCTTCTGCGCAGACGGGAAGTCGTCGACGAGCTACGTGACGGTGCACTTGGACAAGGAGGCGTGGGGCGAGCGCCTGCGCCGCAGCGCCGCCCGCGGGGGCGAGGGCGTGGGCGGGCGGACGGGCGCCTCCGCGGAGCGCCTGCACGGCCCCGCACGCGCCCGCCCGCGGCCGCCGCCGCCGCCGCCGCCCCCCACCGCCGCCCGCCCGTTCGCCAGTTCCAACCGCCGGCGCCCGCTGAGCGGTCGCAGCCCCTCGCCCAGCGCGCCACGCACCTCGCCTCGTCAAGAAGGCGCCTAGGGGAGCTCGCGTCTGGAGAAATGGGGCGTTGCAGCCGAGGTTCTCATGAACCATAAAAACTGTTTTGCTGGAGATTCATTTCATATATATGAGCTACGAGGGACACAGAATGCCAGGTGATGTCAACTGCCCTAGATTCTCACGCAATGCTCTATCGAGACTGTTTTTAAGTTCAATGTTGTGGTTGATGCCGTAGAAAGTCTCCTTCTTGAAACGCGAATCGAAGACAGGAGCGAGAAAATTGAATGCAGAAGACCAACTCTTTCGTAGAACCTGGACGAACTACACCATATCGAAACTTTCGTGCTGTGAATGAGAAGCAAACGGGTTTGCAGCTGTGTCAACTTGAAAAGGCAACTAACTTGACTGCTAAAACTAGTCTGTTCGTGTTTGTAATAATTGGTGTGAAAACTGTATAGTTAAATATTACATAAAATACTGACGTGTAATGAGAATAAAAGATCTTTATAGTAGTTCTCTTCTTCACTCAAAAGATGAACGGTCCCGAAGACAATGATCAACACACTCACTTTCCAGCTAATTAACTAGTAATAAAACGCCACTATCGGTAAATGAACCTAGGAACCTACGGTGGTTCACTGGTGGTATCATGTGCTTATCGCAGCGTTCTATCTGAAGACGCAGTCCGCAGCGCAGTTTTTAGAGAAAGGGCGCGAATGGCTGTCGCACGGAGCTAGGCCCGACGTCGTTCATCACGAAGAGGAGGTGCCAGCGCCAGGGCGCGGAGGAGCGCGCCAACCCTAATGCGCTCTCGCCCCCCCCCAGCCCACGCAACCCACCACACAGCTCCAGCAAAGCCTACCCATCCAGAAGAATCCACAGTCCTCAACATGCCACCACCCAGGCGTCTTCGAACCCAAAACGCAAGCACTCACCCACATTGAGCCAGAACTCAGGCCGCAACCAGCTACACCCAGCCCACGGAAACACAAACCATTTAAGGACAATCAATCTGCTCAACCTCAGATCATCTCAACCTACATCATGATAGCCCACATGAAAACCATCACGAACAGCCTAACCTACCAGTTCGCTCAATTCCATTCTGAAAGAACGCACTCCCAGGCAACGCGGGAGCCGAGCAGAGGAGGGCAGAGCCAACCGGGGCGAGGCACGTGCGGGCGCGCTTAACGACTCATCCACTTGAACAGCCCGGCGGCCATCACGCGGACAAAGCGGCGACCGCCGCCGCCCCCGCCGCCGGGCGAGGGGTCACCGGCGCGGTGGCGGACGGACGGACGACAGCCGACGCGCTCACTGCGCCCATTACCGGCAGAAGGCGGAGGCGGAGGCGAAACGAGGGAGGACAGCCCGCGAGAATTCTTGCGGTGAATAATTGGGCGCGGTCAGGCGACAAGGAGAAGGGAAGGGGACTTTGCTAAGCGAGTGGAATGCGGAAAGGTTGGGCAGGGAAAAATGTTAGCTAGGAAACTAATCTGCGCTATTGGTGAAGGCCCCTTTACTAGTAGTGAAAACTGCAATGATCAGAAGCTCTCCGTTGCAGATCGGTTGAGCATTGTCCGGGTCGGCCAAAACACACTAGAAATGAGTGTCAGGAGAGGAAATCGGATGCCCCGGACAGAATCAAGAATAATTCTACGCAGCCGATGTAGGCTGCTCATGATAGTGGCACAGAGCCACAATTTAAAGGTACAAAAAATGATGGGACGGATAACTATGGATTTGTGCAGGATTTCCAGATTAAGAACGCTGGCGAGAGGAGGAAAAGAGGCAAAGAGCGTGGCAGGGGAGGCGGCAAATGGCGAAGGAGGGAAGCGGCAGAGAGGTGCGGGAGCGACAGGGCCTGCAGGGGGCGGCCGATTGCAGAGGCGCTGGAAGCAGGAAGAGTGTGAGCGTGGGGTCGAGGACGGGGGGGGGGGCGAAGGCGGCGCCCCGCGCAATCGATAGGAAGACGCGCGCTAATGACCGTCCCTTCCCCCTCCCCCACCCCCACCCCCGCGCTCGCGTTTTAATAATACAGGGCCCACGACGCTCGTTGACGGGCCCAGAAGCCCTCGCCGACCGATCTGCTCCACACACTTGCCCTTACACTCTTACGCACACCACACGCCTCCTCGAACCTTCATCCCCTTCATATCATTCCATGCCATCATCTCTGTTTGCCGTCATCTCACTGCATCCTACGATCCTCTTCTCCATACTATACTAAATTACGTTGCACGTTGTTCACAATGATGCAGTTTAAATTGTTTCTGTTGGACGTGCGGATTTCACAATGCTTACGGGTGGACATGGTTCTTTGGAGGTCTGTAGGCCATTTTTATCGATGGTCCACATCAAGTAGCATTGCTGAAAAAGGCCTGAAGCTGGAAGGCGTGATTCAAGTGTGACAGATGCATTGAGATGCTTTACTTTGGGATTGAAAAGCTTTTTTGATAGCATTTCGCAAACAACTTAATTCAATAAACCTTTTTAATTTAATTTATTTTTATTCAATAACCCTTATTTTACGTGGCGTGGACCAGAATATCAGGCCTGCTCTTTGTATTTTTAACAATCCCCTTCGTCTCGTTTTCACTTTATGCCCTATGGTAACTGCTGTAATAAAATGCAGTAATAAAGTAGGTGAGTAATAAGAGTAGGTGAAAGAAGATGATATTCTTCGAATCCGGTATTCTACGAATCCGTCCGGTATGCAACGAATTCAAAATCACCAATTCTACGAAGAATGGCTACAATTTAAATCCTGTTACCCAGCAGGGAGTCTTCATAACCGAGAACGCTAAAAGATGGCCAACGGATTGTCCCGGCGTGGGCGGCGTGAATGGAATGGGCGGCGGAGGTGGCGTTATGTCCCTCAGTTCCCCTCTTTGCGAACCGCCTTCTGCCGTTTTTGATTTCCGCTTTTTTTCTTTGAGGGACCTTCCGAGAGCGAAGTGGCTCGAGCAATGGAACGCTGTGCTGGAAAGGAGAACACTCGACATCAGCTTCTTTACCCGTCTGTACTTAGAGCATACGCAAACAAATATTGAAACACATCTTATTTGTAATAGTTTATAGCATTTTTTTAAGACTAAGGCACATATAGTCATAGATCGTATAGAGGTTGTAATCCATGAAACTGTGCATTTATGGGAATAAAATGAAAAAACGAATTACTAAACAAACCGTTGCGTTGACTGATGCATCTAATATTATTTATGATCGTAATAAACACGTAGCAATGAAAATTACTCATCTAAAAGGGGCGTTGTATTTCGAAACATTTAAGGGAATATTTTATTTCTATCTCTTCAGCCAGACAGTTAGCAACTGGGTTGTCCAGACGGTCACCAATCCAAGAGCCTCGTACGATCTCACTTCCTTATCCTCGGTTACCTGACACACCTTAGCTAATCAGATTGGCTACGAACGCAGGGAACCGACGCTATTTTATCATTAGTTTAAAATACAACTTATAATTATTGAAGGTGAATAAAATACTAAATACAGCGTACAATATTATACACAGCGTTTATTTCTCATCGTTAATGGGCTCTAGAACAATTCGAATTGGTCAGATTTCTGAGAATACGATGTTTCTAAACAGTGTTTAGTAGGTTTGAAATGCGGAGAATACAGTCACTGAATAATATTATCTACAAAACAAATATAGTAAAATTATCAATTCCCTTTCACCATTCGCTTACGGTTTTGGATTGCACGACTTGCTATACGAAACTTAATAATGTTTAGTGAATCTTACCACACGAATAATTGGATTTTCTGTATGATCGTTTACTAAACGTGTTTGTACCATGTTTATGTCAAAGCAGTCAACAAACACGCGATTTCTCAAAAAGTATGTCACAAATATATTGTTCTAAAAAGTCACATTTTATAACACGTCCTTTACATTGCATATAAGATTGCGTAAAGTTTTAACCATCACACATAATTATGAATAGCTCCCAAATCCCTGAAGCTTGCGTATGTGAACACTATTCACGAACCAAAACCATTAATTCTTCGGGTGAAGTGTTACGAATACTCATAGAACCAGAAATAAATGTTTAAACACCTTCCTGCAATTAACGCACAGATTTTCATTCATAGAAGAGCGTGTATTAACGAGCAGTTGCTCTCGGAGGCGTGAGCGAGGCGCCTGAGGATTACTGCTCTCGCTCTGAGAGGCGGCGTTGAGTTGGGTTGGGTTGAGCCCCGGGAGGAAGAAGAGGAAACGTTGGGAGGGCGGCAGCGTGGGCGGTGGCAGCGGCGGGGCCGGTGTGGGCGGGACGCCGTAATCACCGGCGGCGGCGGTGGCGACATGCGCGCTAATTAACCGACGGTGCCCCCGAGTGCAGGGGCGGGGGGTGGGGAGGGTGGGCCGACGCACGCAGTGGCAGGCGGGGGGCGGATTTGGGCAGTGGCGTGCAGCGAGGGGCGGATGGAAAGTGGCCTGCAAGCGGCGAAGGTTGGAAGGGTCAGGCGCAGGTGATGGCTGTGGTGGCTGAAGGTGGAGACTGCGGTGGGGGTGATGCGGTGGTGACAGTGGTAGTTGTAGTGGTAATTGTTGTTGGCGAAGGTGGAGGTGACACAGGCAAAAATGGGGAGGTGGCGCCGGCGATGGCTGTTGTTTCGGCATCGGCTACGTTTGCGGCTGCACGCGGGGAGGAAATTTGACGACGGCGGCGATGAGGGCGTTGGCTTGTGAGACCGCTAGGGGCAGTGTAGACGACGGGGTGGAGACAAGTGTTTATGAGGATGGCAAGGACAGGTGGCGGGGGGAGGTGGGTGCGGTAGGAGAAAATGTAGTAGCAATGGAGGTGAGGGCAGTCAAGGCGACGGGAACAAATGAGCGGGTTTTGGCAGCGTGCGGAAGGCTGGTGTAGAATGCTTGCGGTGTATTGGGTGGTACCAGGGCCAGAAATAATTTACGTCGATGCCGCGAGTTTCGATGGTTCGAATGGTTGGTAGCGTTATTTGTACTGCACCGAAACGTCTTGCCTTCAAATTTTCTGGGTCGGATTTACGATGTT